TTCATATGAATTTGCCTTAAGTTTTATATAACTTCTTAGGTTAACTAGAAAACGGTATTAATAGTTGAATTTGCGTTATTTGCATGCATTATGCATGAAGCACCTATTAACGGGAGTTATGAAAAGATGCATGGGTGTGTTNTCATCTCTAGTTCACAGTGATATTACTCATGTAATTGTTTGCCCCGATGATGTTCCAATCCATGACGACCAGTTACACGCATCGCTGGCTTTATCAAAATGACTCATGGCTACAATCATAGAAAATTACTAATGAATTACGGAAAAATACCTTCAGTATCAAAGCGGAGTTGGAACTGTGTTTCTGGAAGCGAAACTTCTTCAACACCTCCTTCACGTCGTCGCCTATATCACAGACGTTTACATTTTGTGCTGACATGGTAAAGTTTAATTCAAAATTTAGAAAAATTTACGTAAATAAAAATAAACAACACGTAGCGCCCACAAAATAATCTGGACGAACAGAGCTCTCTGTGGACGAATGTCAAAATTGATAGGGAAGTACCGAAGCAATTATTTTGAAGTCAAGCAATTGAACAATTGAATGATAAATCGACTAGATAAGCGGGTAGGCGATATATGATACGAAACATTACGATTACAATATAATCGTTTTGCACGCAGCAGAATCGAAACGCAGTACAAGTGTCAATCAACTGTCATGTCTCTGCTGTCTGCTGTCAAAATGACGTAAAGGGAAAAGTGATCAAAAGTTTTTTCTTTGCAATAGAAATAGGATTTTTACGCTAAAACATTGTGTAATTAAATTGTTAAACTCATCCCAATAAACCTGGTAGACTCTAGAAAGCCAGCGTGGCTCATATTATGTACAATTTTGTGAATTTTCGCTTAAAACGGGACTAACCTAACCAGTTTGGTTTTTCGTGGACAGTATATTGTTATTTATCGTTTTTGTTGTAATCGTGCGGTGTTAACAAGTGTTTGAGTGGTTTCTATGTAGGTCATTAGCATATAGAGTTCTTTGTACGAGTGGTGAGTATCAGTTTGATTGTGATTGCACGAGTTATTTAATATTTATATTTATAGCTAACTGTTACATTCGTCTCTTTGTTCTATGTGAGAAAAGTTAGTCATAGCATCTATAGGGCTATAAAAAGTTTCTAAATCAACTTAAATGTTATTTTTTAATGAAAAAAATACCTATTTTTAATGTTTTTCGAGTGAAAGTTGCAATATTCTAGAATAAAACCTAGAATTCATGCTCATTGAAGGTAAAACTTACCTCTCACTGTACATACTTATGTTAACCTTGTTTACCTTCAATGTTTCTAATGTTGACAAGTTTAACTCTTACTGTAGACATTCATGATAAGGAATAACTTAATTTTTGCTTTTTGTTGAACATTATTTGCTGCTAAAAATTATTTATTTGAAAGGAACAATAATTGAATCAAAGGTTTGACTTACCAATAACTAAATATTGGTTTTACCTATAGGATAGATAGGTGATAATTAACTTTCTTTCTATTCACATCTTATTATATGAATCATAAATGAATTTAATTATCTATTGTTAAGCTTTTAGCTGGTATAACCTTATTGAAACTCATTGTAATAAAATATTTAAAATATACACTTGTCAGACATACTTACAATACATAACTGTAAGGCTGGGTTGCCCCATCTTACTTCAACTTTAACAAATGTTAAAAGTTTATCAAACTCCATTAAAAAAACACCGGTTAAGGTTATAGTCATGGTATAAAATAAGGTGGTGCAACTCGCCCATCTGGCAGGGAGAGCCTCACATAACCCACTGGTTCCCCTGGGCCAGTGGTGCAATTTCATACATTTCCTGAAAAAGAAGGTGTTGCCACTCAGCCTAATCATGTTTTGAATTATGTTGTTTTTCTTAGCTGTTAAAACTCATAAAAGTCATAAAACTCGTTTATTTTTGCAAATAGGCTTTTAAAAAGCACTTTAACACGTCCCAATATTAACCCTACCACTGCTTCGGGACAATAAATGGGCCAGTGCTGAGAAGAAGCAGCGCAAGGAACTCAGTCACTATTGTCAGCCTTCTTTTCAAGGGTTTACAGTCTTTAAAAATATACAAATTATAGTCATAAGTATTGATGCGAGCTAGGTAGTTAAACATTCCAAACATGTTACCAACTAAATTGACAAAAACACAAAGTGCATTTTCTTTATCCTAATAATAAATCATTTGTATAATAAAGTCTGAGATTATGTTTCTGCTACTACATAAAAGCCAATTAGGTGTAACTATCTGTTGATAACATTGAAATACATTTTATTACATGTTTCACAATCATGTGTTAAAGTGATAATAATTTTGTTACCATGTGTAACAATTGTTTTGAGNATTTTGAGACACCTGCAACTTTATGTGCATGAAGTTCAAGTTCATTACAAAGTATGTCTATTTATAATTTTTTAAAATCCACCATTTTATTGGCTTAAAATTTAAATATTTGAAATGATTAGTCCTTACAACAATTTTTAGTAAGTCTTACAATAATTTTTAGTAAAATTTAGTTTTTATAGATTTGGAAAAATAGGGTCATTGTGCCATCGGTGGTCACCTACATTTTCTGAGTTTAGTCGGTGTATCTCAAAATAAACTAATTAATAGTAATAAATTATCCACATTTATAAAATTTTGGGGGACATAACATTGACAGTGCCAGCTGATAAGAACTTGCGAATCCTGATAAACATGATCTATTTATCTTTCACAGGTCAACGACACGAGAATGACTTGGAGTGAGGCCTGATTGAAAAAATTGATCTTCAGCAAACAACAAGATGGAGTCAGCTAGTGAGTATAGAAATCCTACTAATATATTATTTAGTTTTTTTTTTTTTTTGTTTTATGGTTTAATCATGCGATCAGTCCTCAAAAACTATAAGCAGATGGGGTGGATTCTTTTCGTCATTTAGAGCGCTGCTCCCAGCGGAAACAGGCCTTTATTTTTCTTAATCTCAGGTTTATTTTCGGACTAATTCATTGTCGAAGATATCCCGCCGCTTCTTAAGCCGCCGTATGGTTTCTGGGATAGTGAGCTGCCCAGCCAACCGGTTCGGGTGCTTTGACAGTCTTAGCTTGTAGCTGTTTCCATGGGTGTCTATCTCTTGCTTCACCATAGGCACGTTCAATAACTCGTGCAGCTCTGTTGTTCTTATAAACCATGGTGCATTCGATATTTGTTTCAGGATGTAGTTTTGCACTCTCTGAATTATCATGATGTTAGAGGCACTTGCAGAGCCCCACAACTGGATGCCGTAGGTCCAAATGGGCTTCAGAATCATTTTGTATATGAGCAGCTTGTTATCCAAACATAGTTTTGAATTGCGCCCCAGCAGCCAATAGAGACCCTTGTATTTTAGATATTATTATTTAGTTACAGAAGAAATAGTGTGGGCAGCCCCCCCACTAGGAGGACTGACGATCTGGTTAAAGTAGCGGGAGGTGCCTGGATCCGGCGGCGCAGGACCGGTCGTTGTGAAAATCCTTGGGGGAGGCCTTTGTCCAGCAGTGGACGTCATTTGGCTTGACAAACTAACGAAATAATATTTAAATGTCAAATTGTATGGATGGATGGATGTTTGTGACAGCCTTACCACACACAAAGTCAAGCAGAAAACTTTGTACCCACTGGGATTCGAACCTGGGACCTCTGACAGACGACCACTAGACTACAGAGGCGATAGAATAAATTCAAATTGATTACACTCTTTCAAGTCTTCTTTAGATTCATTTTACAGATAGGGAAAATACAAAAATATTAATTGATTTATTCTTTTCATTACAGATGAAGCCACTGAGATGCTGGAGAAAAAGAAAGAGTAAGTTATTTCACTTCATTTATTTATACTTTACTTACTAACACTACTTTTTCACTTTGACCCACCTGAGAGCTGAACCCAGGATCTTCGGACCGGTACTACTAACGCCATCTATTGACAATCCAAGTGTACCTCTCTTTAGGTATTGACGTCACAGTATCTAACACTAACGATTTTAATCTCAAATCCTGTTGTCATGACTACCAAAAACTTATAGATCATTAACGATAATCCTGCCATTTGATTTTGTGTCGTATTTGTATGGACATAAAGTTCATGACACTTCGCAGTTGTGTCGCCTGATATGCTCAAGAACGAGATAAGTGATCTACGGCGCGTAATCGGTTTAGTGAAGGGACACGTGTCGATAAAATGAGGTTTGTCGATATCGATGTATGTGACAGATAGGGATCTTTTATTATGACTTGCGAAGTCCTTGTTACTAACCAATTATCCTGCATTGGATAGTTAAAATATTGATATCCTCTCTAAATTAATTAGAAAGTCCGTGAGCGTACGGAATTATTTTTCAACCGCTGCAACTTTTGTGTACTTAGCCAGGATCTACACCTACACCTTGACCTCCAATAAAAACCCAACCAGTGAAGGTCAAGTTTGTCCCGGAGGAATGATAAATTGAAAAAAAAAAAAAAATTGGACCCGCAACGAAATAGATCAGAAGGCCAAGAGGAGTTCGAAGTCCCACCAGATAATGGATATCACGAAAGCAATAAGTGAGAAATGCAAAAGAAAAACTTGATATTTCTGAATGGGTTTTTCCATTTTTATAGATTCCTGACTGCGGCGCTGGGGGTGAAGTATTTTTTATTTTGTAAATAGTTTTTATCATTAGTTAGTAATTTTTAAATTTTAGTTTTTAAGTCATTTTAAGTTAATGTATTATTATAAAATTTATTCTCATTAATATAAAAAAAAAATGGTAACAGAAATAATACGGACATTGACATCAATAATATTAACATTCTGTTAATCCATAAAAATACAGAGGAGAGAGGACTGACATGCGAAGGAGTGAATAGATCTTGTCCTTGACACATAAGGAAAAGTAAAGGAAAACTGTCGATATATCGACCTCGATACACCCACGCGCACATCACCACGCCTCAACTGAATGGGCCCTCAGTTCTCGCGCCATTCCGTTCGCGACGCACGCTTTCCAAGCGAAAGTTTGAACGTTCCATTTTCGAATTTGCCAATCGTGTTCGAGATTTTTTTTCTTTTATTTCGTGTTAAAGGAAGTGAAAAAAGGTTACAAACCAGTGTTTGTGTTCGAATTTGAATTTATGAATTTCAAATTCTTTTTTAAAGCAGTTGCGTTTTGTTTGTGATTTTGTTTACTTTTTTTATTTATGTTGTTCTTCAAGGAGGTTGTATGTCCAATAAGGACGTGACTTTACTAATTTAAAGCTATGTTTGTCCCTTTCTCTCACGTGCTGATCTGATGCAGGATGAATGAAACAACAAGATTATTATTGTAGATTAGTCAAGTGGCAGACACATAATATACCTAAATAATAGCATAAACGATGTTCTCAAGCGTGGAGAACTTTCTAAATGCTGTAAGCAAAAATAATACTTCTTTTGAGCTCACGCACATATTATTATTATACTTAATGAATTGTTTGTATTATAAAAACAGATTGTTTTCTGCTAAATAATTTTGTCTATCATAGAAAGACCTATTTATCGAAATCGGTTCAGCATATTCTGTTCTTTGAGTTCGTTTTACAAAGTTGTTCCTATTTTTATGTTTTCTTAATAAACTCGTGTATTGCAGGTTGCACATACCTACATTAAGTTTTATTTGTCGTTGATCGTACATATTTACTTACACAGTGAAAATAATCGCATAATATGTCGAAGCAGTTAAAGACAGATTAATTTGTTATTTACTACAGTTTAATTATTTAATCGTACCTACAAGGTCTGGCTTAGTGGTAGTCGAAATTTCGTACCACCTGTAGAAAGTCAGATATCAAGTAGAAATAATAATTTACTGAAAATAACTTCTTTTATAGTTATGAATTAAAAGTTAGTCTTAGTTATATCAATACTAGCTTTCCGCCCGCGGCTTCGCCCGCGTCGAATTTTGTCTGTCACAGAAAAACTTTATCGCGGCGTCCCTATTTCAAAAACCGGGATAAAAACTATCCTATGTCCTTTCCCGGGACTCAAACTATATCTATGCCAAATTTCATCAAAATCGATTCAGTGGTTTAGGCGTGAAAGCGAGACAGACAGACAGACAGAGTTACTTTCGCATTTATAATAGAAGTATAGATTAGATGGAACTAATCTTATTTCTCGCCGATGCAACTCCTGTGTAGCCAGGATCTACAGTCTACAGCTTGACCGCCAATAAAAAGTAAAAACCCAACCAGTGAAGGCCAAGTTTATCCTTATAATATCAGTAAATAAGATTGATACCTAGTACAGGTCTGATATTTATACATATAAATTGTAGCATCTTTGAAAAACATCTTTAATTCTTTATGCATTGGCCTTGCAACTAGCAATAAAGATAACAAAACTTGTTCTGGACTGGATAGGCCAATGACTTTTCTCTATTGGTTCATAATACGCACTTTAAGATTAAAGTAACAAATGTAAACATACCCAATGTCATGGGCGAACCCGTCTGACTTTGACATATTTTTGCGGGAGAACGAGACATTACGGCAAATACACAAGACGGGAAGAGACAGAATATATTGTCAACTCGACAGTCGTATCGACCTTTTGTATCGCTGCTAGTTGGCCGTACTTTAGTTTCTGTTTGTGGCTCTCAGCATCAGGTCATTTAGTCTCCACTGCAGGAGCATGCCTCTAATTGACCAGAGGCAAGAGGATTTGTCCTACACTCCCCACGCTGGCCAGACGGGTTGGGGAGGCCTGATGCTCGCATGTTCGTCCCTTAGTCGCCTCTTACGACATCCATGCGTTGATTCAATAAACATCAATTTACCTAGATGGTCAGTTATACCTGCTTAATGACCATATTAAGGAAAACCAATTTGTGAACGTACAGGGAAATACCATAAAATAATTGTTAGCATTTGATTCATCTTAACAAAATAAAGTTAATATGGATTTTTGAGTGCTTATAAAAACGTTGTTGTGGAGAAAATAAGTTACGAAAAAATATATTTTTGTTGATACTCGTATTATAATATCTACATTTTGAAAATTTAAGACGAACAGCTATTAAAGATATGTCAAGAAATCATATCATAATTTATCAAAATAGTTTTGATAAGCTTTTAATTAATATTATCTGTCTATTTTTTATTATTTCAAAGAATAACATTTCTAATTTCAATTAAGTATTAATTTCTTATCATAATTAGACGATAAAAACATACTTTTTTATCTACCCGTTGGATTTTTCAAGCTACCGATAAAGTATTAATTAAACCTTTTGTAATAACTGAAGATAGACCAAAGTCTAAAATGTCCTAAACAGTTTTTTTTTTTCAAGTAAAACATCATGTCTTTTTTACACTTGCCATTTCCCTCGGGTTGACCTGCATGAATTTCGGTATATCACAGAAAGATGTAGCCCATATACTCAGTAATTATGTAGCTTTCAACTGGTGAAAGAATTATCAAAATCTGTTCAATAGTTTTAGAGATTTTTGTCTGCAAATAAAATAGAAAACTTCATCATCATCATCATCATATCAGCCACAGGACGTCCAGTGCTGAACATAGGCCTCCCCCAATGATTTCCACATCGCCCGGTTGGTAGCGGCCTGCATCCAGCGCCTTTCTGCTACCTTTATGAGGTCGTCGGAATAGATAACTTACCTATGTATTTATAATTAGTATACTTTCCTAGATTACAAATGCAATCCAATATGTAGTTAACTTTACTGCATCACAATAGGTGTGCAACGAATAATATTTGTACAGCATTTATTATATAGAGTCCTATAACTGGTTATGTATTATGTTGAGTAAATAATGCATTATATCTTTAGCTCGCTTTACACTATGTAAGAGCGCGGTATTTGTACATTTGTCTATTTATTAATTAATGTCAAATTTAACCGACGTGGTCTGTGATAATACCACCTGCCTTAGACTTACGCCCATATTTACAAACGATGCTTGCTTAAGTGAAGCAGCAAATCGAACGCGCAGCGTTGAATAGAGCTCTGTGATTGGTCCGTGTGTCACCCTGTGCGTCCACGCGCACTGTGAGACCTCATAGTAATGTTTGTGAATACGAGCGTTAGATTTCGCGGGTTACATTTCCAGTAGGGGCAAAATTTATTCTATTGACAATATTGGGATCAATTCATCATTATGTCAATTAGTATTTACTGCAGGAGCACTCTACTCTCTAATACTCTGTAATACATATGAAGTCTCTAATATCATCATCCTCAGCCACAGGACGTCCACTGCTGAACATAGGCCTCCCCCAATGATTTCCTTAATGGCCGGTTGGTAGCGGCCTGCATCCAGCGCCTTCCTGCTACCTTTATAAGGTCGAGAAACTCTAATATACCGGAGACAAATGGAGGAGGCTGGACGCAGGCCGCTACCAATCGATCAACGTGGAAAGCATTGGGGGAGGCCTATGTTCAGCAGTGGACGTCATATGGCTGAAATGATGAAATGGAGGATTTGGCTTGCCAGACAATGTTCGCATATGTTAGCAACGAAAGGATTAACGCTGATTTGGCTATCAAATTACACCTGAGGGAGGAACGCGGGGAGTCGTACGGGATAACAAAAATATATTCTGATGAGGCATTCGAACGTTGGCCGCGGGATAGAACGCCGTGAGCCGAGAGCCTTCTAAAGTATCCGTGTGTGTTGTGTACCGATGATTGATGGCTTGATTTGGCAAATTATGGTATTGGTGAATAAGTTGGTTTCAGACTATTTGTATTTAATACCCAATTTGTGAGTGAGTATGTATATGAATCTAACACATATTTATTTTGTTCCTTAGTCGCCTCTTAAGAAAAACATCCACGGAAAGAGTGGGTTGGTCCTATAAGTTTAGCACTTAACTCAATCAGTGCCTGAGGTATGGCAGCGGCACGGGAGGGGTGACATTGACATATTATGACGTGACAGAGCATATAGTTCCAAAATACTGAACTGCCCTATCCATGACATTGACAGCGGGGCGCCACCGTCAATACCGGATCGCTGGTTCCGATTTTTGCCATGTTGGAAACCATATAGTTGAACGATGGTAGCGCACACCTGTCATTCAGTTTGGTGGGACAGTTCAGCGTGGGTCATCTATACAAGTCTCGCTGACGTTTGATGTCTCATAAACCCTCCCATGCCGCTTCCATACATAAGGCACTGAGTTTTTTTTATCCACAACGAGGAAGCTCTTAGCCTTCACCCGGAATCCTCAACCACGGAGGAACTGGCTATCTTACCTCTAACTGCCGGAACACAACAATGCTGTTAACATTGTTGTTATGGCGACAGACTTAGGTAAGATGGTGGTAGCTAGCCTGGCGGACTTAAAACAAGCCCTACCACCAACCAAACGGAACAGAAAATTCTGCCCCCACTGGGAATCGAACCCGGGACCTCTGCGTCTGAAGCAGGTGGTCTTACCACTAGACCACAGAGGCGGTTAAACGCTAGTTTAGCGCTAGCTCTATCGTACAGTGCACGATCTATAAGTAAGAACCCATAGATTACATAACTCCATGGTTATTTACCAGCTATCACCATAGACCTAGGTGTTTACCAAACAACGCACTCAGTTGCTTATCTGACTGATATCCGTTCCCTTATCAGCCAGATAAAGTTACGCTCAGCAAATAAGTGGTGTTTGATTTGATATGTATTTCCCAATAATATGGGTTCCAAAAACTTTGTATTTGATAAGACAGGGTTACATTTTAAGCAGGAGCCAAATTTTTAAGGCAGTTTTAGACATTTCAGCTCATAATGACAACTTCTCAAAAGTCATTTTGGGTGCAGACAACCGGGACGCAAAATGTCCACTTCTCGGAATAGAGCTCTGTGGTTCGTGTTCACCCTGTGCGTCAACGAGCACTGTGAGACCTCATAGTAATGTTTGTGAATACGGGCGTGTACGTCTCATTTCGCACATATACATAGGGTGAGGCACATAGCTCGTAGAGACGATGGCCGTTGGGGCAGAAAAGTTCTCGAGTGGCGACCATGGGCTGGAAGACGTAGCGTGGGCAGGCCTCCTACTAGGTGGACCGACGATCTGATGAAGGTCGCGGGAAGAGCCTGGA